AATGTCATTGACATATAATATATTGTATTATGTTTCCTACCTTTACAGTGGTTACATGGCTCCTGAATATGCAATGCGGGGATACTTAACTGACAAAGCAGATGTTTATAGTTTTGGAATTGTGGCCTTGGAAATTGTCAGTGGAAGGAGCAACACATGTTCTCGGACAAAGGAAGATAGTTTTTATCTTCTTGATTGGGTACAAACAACCTTAGTCTTTGATTCTTTCTTCAATTTCAATATTCAATTTGTTGAAAATTGGATCACAAGAAAGCAATAAACTTTCCTATTTCCTTGCAGGCTCTTCTTCTAAAGGAGAAAGGAAGCTTGTTAGAGTTAGTTGACCCGAGACTGGGATCTGATTACAACAAAATGGAGGTAATGAAAATAATAAATGTTGCACTACTATGCACTAACCCTGCCCCAGCCGCTAGGCCAGCCATGTCTTCCGTGGTGAGCATGCTTGAAGGGAAGGTTGCTGTTGTAGGGTTAGGTTTGGATTCTAGCATGTCTATTGATTCGACGAAGAAGTTCTATCAGAATCTTGAAGAAAGGAATATTCATGAGAACCAGTCACATAGTATGTCAATAGAATCTTTGCCATTTACCTCCTCTTCCTCATCTGCAGTTGACCTCTATCCACCCAGTTTGAACTCATCTTATTGGCAAAAGAGAGGCTAGAAAAAAACTCCGCAGATCATCTTGATTTTGGCCATGAGAACATTTCTTAATTGGAAATTCTATAATTCTTTATTATAATTTTTCTTTTTGCAATAAGATTGTAAGAGCCTCTAGAACAAATATTCGTTAAAGCAAGGTTGTGTTTTAAATTCTAGATCACTATTGTAATAGTTTTTACATGGTCAAAGAAATATGTATTTTTAATCTTGGATTTATTGACAGTGTAGTGTTATAGGTCAAATATAAGATTCAAATCTTGGGGTGGAGATTAATTTTGCCAAATATTGGTCTAAATATACGTAAAAATTAACTTAAAATACTCTAATGATAAATTAAAAAAAAATATTTCATTTGAACTTTTGGTCCAATACGATTGTACTTTTTTGGTACGCTAGATGGTGTGCTATGCAACAGGAAACATAGGACTTCCCAACCTGTTTGAAAGAAAGTTCAAATTCAAAATATCAAATTTTTAACCTTTTGAGAGAATTTCTCCCCCACTTGAGACATGTCATTTAAATAGTACATGACCATATACTAATACATTGTTTGGAAAGGAAAATGACTATCATGGTATAATGGTTTTTCAGTAAATAACTGCTGTGTTTTCTTTTTCCCTTTTTCTTTTTCTTCTTTTTTTTTTTTCCCTCTTAAATACAATAGGCAGTGTTTTATGCACAAATTATTTGAGTTCTTTTTTTCCTTATTTATGCAAGTTATAGAACTAGTGTTTAGAGAAATAGCCCCCCCTTCTGTTTCATTTCTCTTAAATTAAACATATTTTAAACTTAAATTTTAAGTTTTGTAAGTTTCGTTCCTAAATATATTACTTTGTTTTTATGAACAATTGTAATTTTAGGAGGTGTTTGATTCAAGGAAAACTTTCCTCCTAAATTTTTTAAAATTTTTATCTTTATAAAGTTATTTAGATATTTTCACATATTAATATTACAACAAAAAGAGAGTAAAAGTGGTGTTTTGAGCATTTATTTTTCTTGATACAATTTTCAATTTGTAAAATTTTTTTCCCCTATTTTGAAAAGAAAAAATTTCTTTATAACTTATCCTATATTGAGCCTACTTTTTTAAAGTAAAATATATTGAACCTATTTAATAACTTTTTATTTACTTTTTTTTATATTAATTTCTTACCAAACATAATAAAAATAATAATTTGATAAAATTTCAACAAAATTTTATTACAAAATTTTGTAACTTTCTCTACAATACTTTTTAATTTTCTATACAATATTTTCTTAATAACTTTCTCAATGAAAAACTATCTAGCCTCTAAGGCCTAGTGCTTCTTAAACTAAAAAAGATTGCTAGGGACACTCTCTCTAATGTTTTGTTTTGAACATTCTCCACGTGGTTTAGGTCACATAAAACATGAAATTTAATATAATTGACAATTAGTGATTGATATTAAAATTATAATCAATTACATTAAATTT